GATTTCAGTTGCATTGGTTTTGAAGGGGACGCGCGGCAGAGAGAAGCGGGAGGCTCGGCTGTGTGGCCCGGGAAAGGCCGCCTGCCTTTTCAGCAAAGAAGCTGCGGACGTCGGGCCCTCAGCCGCTGCAGCCGCCCCCAAGGGAGCACTCTCAGGGAACTCAGGATGGAGAGAAACAGGAGACTGCCCCAGGTCGCTGGGGTGCCCCTCAAAGGAATGCTTTCAGTGAGCCCAGACTCTTGCAGCGTCCCAGGCTCAGAAAAGCACTAAGCTCATTCACTCGAGATGTTTGTATTTTGTGACCCGCATAGTAATCTTTTGATTTCAATTACATAGGTCTTATGTTTGTTTGTTTTTACAGAAATTCCCATACATCCTGGCCCCTCCCTTACCTCTTTGGGACAGACCCTCTAAACTCTCTGAGAGGCTGTTTCCTAGGCTATAGGCCTCAGTAAAGTCACAAAGGAGATCCAGCCAGTCCATCCTAAAGGACATCAGTCCTGAATATTCACTGGAAGGACTGATGCTGAAGCTGAAGCTCCAATACTTGGGCCACCTGATGTGAAGAACTGACTCACTGGAAAAGACCCTGATGCTGGGGAAGATTTAGGGCAGGAGGAGAAGGGGGCGACAGAGGATGAGATGGTTGGATGGCATCACCGACTTGATGGACATGGGTTTGAGCAAGCTCCGGGAGTCGCTGATGGACGGGGAGGCCTGGCGTGCTGCAGTCCATGGGGTCGCACAGAGTCGGATACGATTTGGCGACTGAACCACAACAACATAGTCATTAAATAAAACAGATTTTTCTACTTTGAAGTTGTGCATTCTTTTTTTCAATCACCTGCTGATGGCACAGAGCCATAACCAAATTCAAAGGAGGAAAAACAGATCGGCATTTGGCGTGCTGTGTGGAAATCTATCTATGTTTATATGAACCCGGTCAGGGCCAGACCTGAGTTCTGATCCCATGTACCTGGCACAGATTGTGTTAGCTATATAATATAATAGGGTTTCCCCAGTGGCCCAGTGGTAAAGAATCCTGCCAATGCAAGAGACACGTGTCCAACCCCTGGGTCGGGAAGATCCCCTGGAGAAGGAAATGGCAACCCACTCCAGTATTCTTGCCTGGAGAATCCCATGGACAGAAGAGCCTGGAGGGGTACGTTTCATGGGATTGCAAAGCGTCAGACAGGACTGAGAAACTGACACTTAGAAATTCGTATGTTTAATACGTTGTTATATTTATATAAAGACATATAAGTATGTATATATATGATCTCAAAAACTAAGAGGGAATAAATATATATTTATTTATGCCTTGCTTCAAAATTGAGATAGAATAAATTCCTGCTGTTTTATCTTCTGTGACATGTCAGAGCTTAGCTCCCCAAAGTCGCACCGCCTGTATTGAAAGGTGAGCTTTTAACCCCTGGACCGCCGGGAAGTGCCAATTCCTACTGTTTTAAACTACCAGCTTTGGGGTGTTTCATGACAGAAGCCTCTGGAAACAAATTCCCCACCTAGACATCTTAGCAGAGAGAAGTCTCACAGAAACACATGCGGAAGCTAGGAGTTTCCCAGTGGCTGAGCGGTGAAGAACCTGCCTGTCAATGCAGGAGACACGTATTCGATCTCTGGCTCGGGAAGATCCCCTGGTGGAGGGCATGGCAACCCGCTCCGGGATTCTTGCCTGGAGAGTCCCACGGACGGAGGAGCCCGGCGGGCTGCAGTCCATGGGGTCGCAGAGAGTCGGACGCGACTTGGCAACACAGGCGTGGCTGCCTGATAGAAAATACCTTGGTGATGTCAGTGCTTGTGAGGAGAAACAGAAGGAAAGGAGGGATACAGATTTATCTGTGTTTCCTGGGGGCTGCTTGCAGCAGGCGGCATGGGGGATGGGCGTGTCCAGGCAGGCTGGCTTTGGAAGCGTTTCTGGCGTGGTTTCCCAGTCTCTGCAGTGAAAGCCTCTCCGGGACTGGGAAGCTGGCAGGGAGATTGTGCTGTGGTTCCAGACGGCCCCAGAGCTGCGCAAGCCCTCGCGTGTTAACTGCTAAGCCTAAGGAAACGGGGAGCCCTTACCTGGATTCCACGGGACCCACGTCCGAAAGACGGCTGGAGGGCGCTTAGGACAGAAAGCAGGGAGAGAAGCCCGCGTACCTTGCGGCGGGCACAAACCTCTTTTTCTTTTGCGTTCTATGCTCATTCACTAAAATTCCTCTTAGGAAGTGTCAACTGAAATGAACAAAAAAAGCACAGCCTGAGAGTTGTGACTTAACATTTTTGTTGTTCAGTCGCTCAGTCGTGTCCGACTCTTTGAGACCCCGTGGACTGCAGCACACATCAGGCTTCCCTGTCCATCACCAACTCCCAGAGTTTGCTCAAACTCACGTCCACCGAGTCAGTGATACCACCCAGCCATCGCATCCTCTGTCGTCCCCTTATCCTCCCGCCTTCAATCTTTCCCAGCATCAGGGTCTTTTCCAATGAGTCAGTTCTTTGCATCAGGTGGCCAAAGGATTGGAGCTTCAGCATCAGTCCTTCTAATGAATATGTAGGCTTGATGTGCTTTAGGATGGGCTGGTTGGATCTCCTTGCTGTCCAGGGGACTCTCAAGAGTCTTCTCCAGTACCACTCTTTACATATCGTCTTTTCCAATGGATTTATCACTTGTCCTTTCGAACGTAAAGCGTTCCTCACTGTGAAGCCGTGATAGCAGCAGGCATCTGGGACCGCAGTTGGCGGGGGTCTCAGGGGCTCTCCATGAGAATGGAGGTGCTTCCCTCACCAGACGGTGTGGTAGGACCCGAGTTCTGTTCAGAGCAGCTTGTGATATGCCTCATCAGCCGGAACCTGCAGGAGCATCTTGAACTGAATTCTTGCGTCAAGTCCAGATGTGTTGTTTGCGTGCATGCTAAGTTGCTTCAGTCGTGTCCGACTCTCTACGACCCCATGGACTGTAGCCCCACCAGGCTCCTCCATCCATGGGATTCTCCAGGCAAGGATCCTGGAGTGGGTCGCCATGCCCTCCTCCAGGGGATCTTCCCGACCTGGGGATGGAACCCACGTCTCTTAAGTCTCCTGCATTGGCGGGCAGGTTCTTTACCGCTAGCGCCACCTGGGAAGCGCCAATCCCATCAAAGCCCAGGTTTGATGCTTGATAGTGAAATCAGCGCATGCCACATAGAAAGGATGTGACACCCCAGTCACCTCGGTGTGGCTGGCGTGATCGTTACACCTCCTTTGTCCGACCTGCCCACCCCTCGCCCCTCCACGAGAGCCCCTTCCCCTCCCTGCATCGGATCCTCAACGCAGGCTCTGCTTCGGGAAAACGGCCAGTGGACACACGTGACTTTCTCTGACGGGGCTAAAGGTGGCGGGCGGGTTGGGGGTCCACTCTCACCCTCTGGGAATCACTTGCCATTTCCGTGAGCAGCGACCTGCCTTCCAATGCAAGCCCTGTCTTTCTGGCAGGGCTCTGTCGATCGCTGAAACCCACACTGCCCACTGGAGTGACAAGCTGGGAGTCTGCAAAAGTCTCACAGCCCTGCCAGTCACCGATGCACCTGTTCATTGTTGTTTAGCGGCTCAGTGGTGTCCAACTCTTTGCGACCCCATGGGCTGTAGCCCGCCAAAATCCTCTGTCCGTGGGATTCTCCAGGCAAGAGTCCTGCAGTGGGTTGCCGTGCCCTTCTCCAAGGGATCTTCCCGACCCAGGGATGGAACCTGGGTCTCCCGCATTGGCAGGCAGATTCTTTACCACTGAGCCACCAGGGAAGCCCTGCAAATGCACACAGCATGTAAATACCCCAGCTCCCACACCTGTTCCCCCAGAATCACCCTGAGAAACAGTTCATGCCCTTTCTCACAGCATCACCATGATACTAACCCTCTCCTGTCACCTTGACGGGGCTGGTTTGGAAATTCCTCCCCCTCCTAGGCTAGTTTCTCTCCTTGTGTGACCCCGGAGTTTGCCCAAGTTTGCCCAACTTCACGTCCATCGAGTCGACGATGCCGTCCAACCGTCTCATCCTCTGTCGCCCCCTTCTCCTCCCGCCTGCAACCTTCCCCACCATCAGGGTCTTTCCCAGTGAGTCAGGTGTGGTATTTGGGCCGACTCCAGGAGACGGCGAAGGGATAGGGAAGCCTGGCGTGCTTCGGTCCTTGGGGGTCGCAAAGAGTCAGACACGGCTAGGCGACCGAACAGGAAACGCCCTCCCTGCCTCCTCCGCCAGAGCCCCTGTCCCAGCCTGCATGCAGCTCACAGCCCAGGCTGAGTTTCTGGAAGCAGGACGGTGGAGACGGGATGCGTCCACCTGCCGTGTCAAGAACAGTCTGTGATGACGCCGGGGACAGGGCTGGCCCATGTCGGGTACGGAGGACGTCCGATGAGAGCACGTGGCGCACAGAGCATCCTGGAGACGGAGGTGGGTGGTGAGAAGCACCCTGTCCGGGGCTTTGATGAGCCACACGCATACACGGAGGGTGTATGTCTGCTTATGTGGCCTGCTCCTTCCCTCGAGGAGCCTCTCCCTTTCCTGATGATTCCAGCCTTCTTACTTTGCCATCTCTGACACCCATCACCGTGGTCTGGCTCCCTGACAGCATTGCACCATTGAAGGCTTTCATGGAGAGCGGGGTAGGCGTCAGACACTCAGCCCAGGCACCGCACAGACAGAAATGAGCCCTCGCCGGAGCCCAAGGTGTGATGAACAGATGCCAGAGATCATCAGGAGGTGCTGTATAACGGCTCCAGGTCTGTCTCCTGTGAGCGTGAGTTTGGGGAAACAGAACGTGTCCGTCTTTGCTGAGGAGCGGGGTTTTTTAAAAAACTTTTTATTTTGTATTGGGAGAGAAGGAAATGGCTAGCCCCTGTATCCATTTACCCTGTCTTTCCCACCCCCCGGCAACCATAAGTTCGTTCTCTAATAAGTCTGTGAGTCTCTTTATGTTTTGTATGTTCATTTGTGTCATTTATTTTTAGGGTCCACATACAAGGGATGTTATGTGATATTTCTCCCTCTCTGTCTGACTTTGTAAGTAGCTTCTTTTTAATTTGTAATTTTACAATAAGGGCTTTACGATATTGCGATGGTTTTTGCCGTACGTCAACATGAATCGGACATAGGTATACATATGTCCCCTCCCTCCTAACTTTCCCCATCTCCCTCCACGCCCTATCCTTCCAGGTTGTCTGAGATCACCAGCTTTGGGTGCCCTGCTTCATATATCAAACTCCCACTGGCCTGATTGAAGGATGGCTGACTTACAATATTGTCTTAGTTTCAGGCATGCAGCAAAATGATTTAGTTATACATGAATCAGTTCAGTCCGGTCGCTCAGTCGTGTCCGACTCTTTGCGACCCCATGGACTGCAGCACGCCAGGCCTCTCTGTCCATCACCATCTCCCAGAGCTTGCTCAAACTCATGTCCATCGAGTCGGTGATGCCATCCAAGCATCTCATCCTCTGTCATCCCCTTCTCCTCCTGCCTTCCATCTATCCATGAATATGTACATATATTTTTTGGTTCTCTTCCATTGTAGATTATTAATATAGTTCCCTGCGCTGTACTGGGAGGTCTTTATTGTTTATTTTATATACAGCAGTGTATGTCTGCTAAATCCAAACTCCTAATTCATCCCCCACCCCCTGCCCCTTTGGGGACCATAAGTTTCTTTTCTATGTCTGTGAGTCTGTTTGTATTTTGTCAATCAGTTCATTTGTACTACTTTTTAGATTCTACGTGTGAGTGATATATTTGCCTTCCTCTGACTTACTTCAGCCAGTAGGATCATCCCTAGGTCCAGCCACGTTGCTGCAAATGGCATGGCTTCATTCTTTTTCATGGCCGCATAATATTCCATTGTATATATGTGCCACATCTTCTTTATCCATCATCTGCCGATGGACACTTGGGTGGTCTCCACGTCCTGGCTGTTGTGAATAGTGCTGCAGTGAAACAGTGGGGTGAATGTATCTTTTTGAATTAGAGTTTCCTCTGCATATATGTCCCGGAGCAGACTTGCTTGATCTATTTTTAGTGTTTGGAAGAACCTCTGTACTCTTCTCCATAGTGGATGTTCCATGTTCACCATCATCATCACATTTACCATCATCAGTATCTTCTTCATCACCATCACCTTCACCATCATCAGTATCATCACCATTAGCATCATCACCCCTGAGTTCACCACCATCATCATTATCACCTCCATCCTCACGTTCACCATCACCACCACCATCATCATCACCACCACCATCTTCTACCCCATTGCCATGACCATCCTCACTGTCATGACCCTTATCACAAGGTTCACTGTCAGTATGACCACCACCATCTCCGTCAGCATCCTCACCTCATGATGAGGAACATCACCATCATTGCCATCACCGTCATCCTCCTCACCACCAGCACCATCATCATCAATATCATCTCCATCACCATCAGCACCTTCACCGTCATCAGTATCATCACCACCACGTTCACCATCATCATCGTGATCACCACCATCCTCCTCACCACCAGCACCATCATCATCAATATCATCTCCATCACCATCAGCACCTTCACCATCATCAGTATCATCACCACCACGTTCACCATCATCATCGTGATCACCACCATCCTCCTCACCACCAGCACCATCATCATCAATATCATCTCCATCACCATCAGCGCCTTCACCGTCATCAGTATCATCACCACCACATTCACCATCATCATCGTGATCACCACCATCCTCCTCACCACCAGCACCATCATCATCAATATCATCTCCATCACCATCAGCTCCTTCACCATCATCAGTATCATCACCACCATGTTCACCATCATCATCGTGATCACCACCATCATCCTCACCACCAGCACCATCATCATCAATATCATCTCCATCACCATCAGCACCTTCACCATCATCATCGTGATCACCACCATCCTCCTCACCACCAGCACCATCATCATCAATATCATCTCCATCACCATCAGCACCTTCACCGTCATCAGTATCATCACCACCACATTCACTATCATCATCGTGATCACCACCATCCTCCTCACCACCAGCACCATCATCATCAATATCATCTCCATCACCATCAGCACCTTCACCATCATCAGTATTATCACCACCATCATCGTGATCACCACCATCATCCCCACCAGCACCATCATCATCAATATCATCTCCATCACCATCAGCACCTCCACCATCATCAGTATCATCACCACCACGTTCACCATCATCACCACCATCATCTTCACCACGATCAGTGTCATCACCATCACCATGATCACCACTACATTCACCTCCATCATCCTCACCACCACCATCATCATGTCCACCATCATCACCACCATCTCATTCCCATCACCCTGACCACCCTCACCACTGTCATCGTCATCCTCCCCCTCACGTTCACCGTCATCACCGCCGTCATCACCGGTGGCATCTTCACCACCATCATCCCCTTCACCGTCATCAGGACCATCCTCACCTCCTCCACCCTCATCACCATCACCACTGACACCATCATCATGTTACGGAGGTTGAGCCTCGCTCACCGTCACATAGCTAACAATGACATCATCACTCACACAGACCTTCCCAACACAAGGCTCTCTCTGCCTGTGCCCGTTCCACGTGCAAGAAGCCTTCCTTCAAAGACAGACTCAGCGTGCCCTTTCCTCTTCTCATCTCCTCCCTACTTGCCCCCTGGAATGGGGAGCCATCCCCTTGGACCCCAAGGGTAGGGACCATAACCCAGGGTGTATGAGCAGGGAAATGTAAGGACTGACACCAGCTCTGGACCCAGTTCCTTGGGGTGACCTTTACATGAGACAGCATCACATTCCTCTCATTTTCCAACACTGTTGTTTTCAGCCTTCTCCTCCTGCCAGCCTGACCTGCTGCAGACTTCAAGCTCCACAGACCCTGTAACCCAGCACCCCATCCCCCTACCCATTCCTGCACACGCGCCAAACCCTCCATCCTAATTACCCTGCAGGCAGCTCAGCCATTTCCGTAATCTGATTTGCTTTTGATCGATGTCGGGAAGGATGAAGCAGTGGCTTTCAAGGGCAGACCTGGACCGGAACCATCAAGGTACACCGGGTGAAACCGCTGAGGATACGTATTTGTTTGGAAATTGTTGGCTCATCGTGAGACATGTCTGGGACAGCTCCCAATGCAGGATTTCGTAAAAATGCAATATATTCTCAAGCGCACCTCTTTCCATCTCTGGCTCGAGTCCAGCCAGCAAAGAAGGGAGGTCGTTGGGCTTCTATCCCTCATCCCGAATTGATCATCACCAGTAAATGGGATCAAAGCTTCCAGACCCTCATCCCTTCAAGCCTTCTGGGAAAGTGAGTGTTGAGCCATCGTCAGGCCCAGCTGGATGTTGGCATGGACGATTCAGTGTCACAGAGGCATCAGCCTTGCCCTTCCAGGGCTCCACAGTCTTTGCGTGTGGTTTAGGAGATGCAGATCTAGGGGGAACAGCTCCTAGGAGTCAGTCTAGCATCGCGGGGCATTTTTCTGACACAACGAGATACCGATTGTCAGAGATAGTAAGACTTGGGGATGGACAATGGTTTCTGTCCCAGAGACAGGCTTTTTTTTTTTTTTTAACTATGGAGCAAAGAATCTCCCTGCAATACAGGAGACCCAGGTTCGATCCCTGGGTTGGGAAGATCCCGTAGAGGAGGAAATGGCAACCCACTCCAGTGTTCTTGCCTGGAGCATCCCATGGACAGAGGAGCCTGGCGGGCTGCAGTCCATGGGGTTACACAGAGTCAGACGGGACTGAAGCGATGTTAGGAAACATCTTTGGTCATGGGCAGTGGGTGGGATCTTAGTTCCCTGACCAGGGATGGAACCCCTGCACCCTGAAATACACGTGCAGAGTCTTAACCACTGGACCCCTAGGAACCCCCAGTAGGTTGTTGTTGATTGCATATTTTATATACACTAGTGTTCATCCCACTATACACAGTATCTGTTCATCCCCAGATCCTAATTTCTCTCTTCCTCAGCCTTTCCCCTTTGGTAATCATATTTTTTTTTCCATATCTGCGAGCTTGCTTCTGTTTTGTATGTAGATTTGTCTTATTTTTAGATTCTACCCGAGCAATAACACACATTTGTCTTTCTCTGTCTTACTTACTTCACTTACTGTGAGTCTCTCTAGGCTCATCTCTATATGCTATAGATGCTGCAGATGGCATCATTTCATCCTTTTTTATGACTGCATAATATTCCATTGTGTATAGATGTACTGCATTTTCTTTATCCATTCCTCTACTGATGTTGTACACTTAGGTTACTTCCATGTCCTGGCTATTGCAAATAGTGCTGCTATGGAAATAGGGGGTGTGCGTGTCTTTTTGAACCATAGTTTTCTCCAGAAATATGCCCAGAAATGGGATTGCTGGGTCACATTATAGCTCCGTTTTTAGTTTTTGGAGGAACCTTCATGGTTTTCTTCATCATGGCTGCACCAGTTTAGATTCCCACCAACACTGCAGGGGGACTCCCTTCTCTCCACACCCTGGGAGGGACCATCTTGATATCACCAAGGTGAGCTGCAGTCTATCTGCGACCCAGAACACGGCCCTGAAATTCTGAGAAAGCACAGAGCTCATGTTGTTGGAGAAACAAATCCCTCAGTTGTAGGATGTTTATGCAAAATGCTAGCTGGGAAATACATGGAAAGGGTTCTGTCATTGACCTTCCAGTGGCCAGAAGGGCTCATCAGAAATGCCTGGAGAGCTGGGTGTGGGCTGACTCCTAACATGGGCTGTGTGCAAAGCCGGCTAAGTATTAACCAGAAAGAGACATCTGGGTCTGTATGCCAAAAATTCAAATTAGTCTTGCAACAACAAGGATTTAATCCTGCCCAAGGAAAATGGGATTAAGGGAATAGCATTACAGAAAATGCTACTGGAAAAAATTTCAGAAGATGGAGCACGATCCTTGTACTTATTTTTTATTTAAGCGTATATTAGGGTATAGCCAATTAACAATGTTGTGACATTTGACAGTGAAGGCACTCAGCCATCCATACACGTGTATCCATCCTCTCCCAAACTCCCCTCCCATATCGGCTGCCACATGACATTGAGCAGAGTTCCCTGGGCTGTCCAGCGGGTCCTTGCTGGTTCTCCATGTTAAACACAGCAGCGTGTCCATGTCCATCCCAGACTGCCCAACTATCTATTCCCCCCCATCCTTCCCCCTCAAGTTCATTCTCTATGTTTTTGAGTCTGTTGCTTTTTCATAAGTTCTTCTGTATCATTTCTTCTTGGTGGTGGCTTAGTCGCTAAGTCATCACCAGTTCTTTGTGACCCCATGAATTGTAGCCCGCCAGGCTCCTCCGCCCATGGGGTTCTCCAGGCAAGCGTACTGGAGTGGGTTGCCATTTCCTTCTCCATTTCTTCTTAGATTCCCCATGTAAGTGATGTCACACAATGCTTCCGCTTCTCTCTCTGACTCATTAGACCTCACTTCGTATGATCATCCCTAGGTCCATCCTTATTGCTGCAAGTGGCATTCATTCCTTTTCATGGCTGAGTAATATTCCAATGTGTAAATGTACCACATCTTCTTTCTGCATCTTTCTCCCTCTGTTGATGGACACTTAGGTCGCCTCCACGTCCTGGCTGTTGTGAATAGTGCTGCTGTGAACACTGGGGTGCGTGTGTCTTTCAAATTATGATTTTTCCCTGGATACCTGCCCAGGAGTGGGATGGCTGGCTCACACGGTCGTTCTGTCTTTAGTTTTTTGAGGGACCTCCCATCGTGTTCTCCATAGTGGGTGCAACCAATTTACAACCCCTCCAAGACTGTAGGAGGCATTCCCTCTTTTCACCTGAATGTATTGTCTGCCCCAGATACAGCCGCTCTGGGGGTTCGGGCTTTGACATATGAACTTTGAAGGGACGTGGACCGATGAACGTGAGTGTGAGCAAGCTCCGGGAGTTGGTGATGGACAGGGAGGCCTGGTGAGCTGTGTGGTCCATGGGGTCTCAGAGGCTCGGACACGACCAAGCGACTGGACTGAACTGAACTGAAGCTGTCCATAGCAGCAGGCTCGAGAGAACCTTGCAGGGCTGTCAGAGGCCAGCACGCACGGTTCAGCTGCGACCTCATTCTGCATCGCAGTGGGAAGCTGGCCCACCCCGGCTGGGAACCCGCTGTCTGCAGGAGCCAGCCCACCCCCTCCCCGTGTCTGCCCCTTCACGCCTCTCTGGTCCAGGGCCCCGCTGTGTCCCGCAGCCCTGCTCCCCAGCCTCACCGCCCAGATCCCGGCTGCCAGGACCTGGCGTTGACTTTGAAAAGACAAGCACGATGTGAGAGCTGAGAGTTAATTTCTATCTGGGTGTTCAATGAGGGCTGCAGCCCTGGAAACCGCACCTCAGTCAGCTCTGAGAACCTGCTCCAAAGAGGCAGGGAGGGGGAAAGTCAATACACATGTGATTTTGGTAAACAGGGTAGTGATGGTTTAGTCACTCAGTCGTGTCCGACTCTTAGCGACCCCCTGGACTGTAGCCCGCCAGGCTCCTCTGTCTGTGGGATTCTCCGGGGAAGAAGACTGGAGTGGGTTGCCATGCCCTCCTCCAGGGGATCTTCCCGACCCAGGAATTGAACCCGGGTCTCCTGCACTGCAGGCGGATTCTTTACCATCTGAGCCAAATGGGGGAGTTTGTGCAATCAAATGGGCAATATTTTGCAAAAGGTTTCTGCTGTTCTCATCAAAGTTCTTCTAGTCCCGAGGAACAGTCATCACCATGAATGCTTTTAGGGCTTCTCTAGGTAGGAGGAGATATAAGAACTGGGTAGCCAAAGAATGGGCTCCTGAAAATATCTGTCTGAGGACCTGGCCTTCTGCTGTCCGCCCTGAGGTCCCTTCAGGGGGTGCGGATGGTCAGCAGCTGCGGCAACACTCGATCTAATCCTTGTGGGGTTAGACGGCCAGCGTCGGTGGCAAGGGGCAGTTGGTGCTTGACTCTGGTTTTGGTGACTGGGCTTCCCCGGTGTCTCAGACGGTAAAGAATCTGCCTGCAGTGTGGGAGAGGCAGGTTCAATCCCTGGTCCGGGAAGATGCCTTGGAGGAGGAAACGGTAAACCACTCCAGTATTCTTGCCTGGGGCGTCCCCATGGATGGAGGGGCCTGGCGGGCTGCAGTCCGTGGGGTCGGAAATGAGGCAGACACGGTTGAGTGACATTGAACTTGGTGACCGAAGCTTCCTCTGGTTCCTTAAGACCGCCGGCCACCCTGGAAGCAGGAGGTGAGTGCAGACTGGAATCCAGGTGCACCAGCCCCCCCGGGGGAGGTGGACGAGCAATGCGCCCGGCCCCCGTGGTCAGCTGCTCCCACTGGCTTTACAGGACTCCAGGATTCCTGAGCAGCCAAGCCTGACCCGCCCCTGGAGCTGCCTGGGCTGTCTGCAGCCACCCTCTCCAAATACCCCCGGAATCCCAGCCCACGTTCTGTCTCCTGGGAAACCTTCCAGCCCAAGACCATCCACAGAGATCCTGGAAAAATCACACGCGCCCTGGATAGATACCCAAGAGGAAAAGAGAAAAAACGGCAAGCACAGCGGGGCGTCCAACTCCATCCGCTCAGCACCTCTGAGCAAAGTCAGCTGTCTTAAGAAAAGTGCACAGAAAAAGTTGCTTCCACGTCGCAGCTGTTGTAAATAGAGGTGCATTGAACGTCGTGGCCTGTGTGGTTTTTTTGGCTTCCCTGGTGCCTCCGCTGGTAAAGAATCTCCCTGCCATGATAGAAGACCTGGGTGCGATCCCTGGGTGGGGAAGATCCCCTGGCGGAGGGCATGGCAACCCACTCCAGTATTTCTTGCCCTGGGGAATCTCCATGGACAGAGGCGTCCAGTGGGGGCTACAGTCCAGGGGGGGGTCTCACAGAGTCGGACACGGCGGAGCTCGAGCACAGACGTGTCTTTTTCAGTTCTGGCGGACTCGGGGAAGGGGAGGCTGTGATGGTGTGAGAGCGTGGCATTGGAACAGATACATTACCATGTGTCAACAAAACCAGCTCTAAGATTCCCCTTTGAGTCAATTTCCCCTGCAACGGCCCCTCCTCGTTTTTTTTTTTTTTTTTCTTGTGCAAAGAAAATGTAGTTAAGTCTTGAGATGGGGGTGATTTTCTCTTCTTTTGGGGGTTTACTCTGTAATTGCTTATTGTTTATCAATATGTGATATTAATTAATATTTAATCTGATCATATTAATTTAGTGTAATTAACAATAATTATTATTTGAATATCACTGTCCACAGGAATACAGGATGCAAAACATCTAATTCAGCCCCTTAAAAATCATTTTAGTATCTATTTCTGTTAGCTTTATTTATTGGCGGATGGTTGTTTATAAATTTTAGCATCATTGAGTCATTTGTATTGATTTATCTTTTAATTAAAAAAAAACTTGTATCTGGTTTTATTTATATTCTACTACAGTGAAGAAAGCATGTACATTTTACAAAGACAAAATATGGCAGTGGTCTTTCTTTGTAAGCGTACAATTCTGATTCTGTTCCTTTAACTTAATAAACCATTAGGTTTTTCTGTCTGTGCTGTTATATCTAAAAAATGTTGCCTTAGCTACTGTGATCAGGTGTTCATTGAAGCCTAATTAGATTGAGCAGATTGGCTGTTTCTCAACCCTTTCAAAATGTTTTTTTTAGTAAAAAAAATTAGTATTTGGTTTTATTTACATTTATTTTATTTTATTTACATTTTATTTACAATGAAGAAAGCATATACATTTTACAAACAAGAGATATGACCTTAGTTTTTCTTTGTAAGCATGAATTTCTCATTCGGTTTCTTTCAGGTAATAATGTATAGAGATTTTACTTCATGCTGTTACATGTTAAAAGCGTTGCCTTAGCTACTGTGATGACTTACATATTGGGCCCTAAACAGATCACCCAGGTTTCCAAGTTTCCAACTTCACATGCATGAAACTATGTTGCATGTTCCTCTCACCCTCCTGTCTTCTCCTAATCGGTTTTAAATTAGTTTTTATTGGAGCATAGTTGCCTTACCACATTGTGTCAGTTCCTGCTCTGCGGCAGCGTGAATTGGCCACATGTGTACATATATCCCCCCATTTTGGCATTTTTATTATTTCTAATTACTTAAAAAGCATTTTACAGTCTTTTTCTCATTATAATCACTTTTCAAAGTCATTTATCACTTAAAAATTCCTTTTAGTCTTTGTGTTATCACTTCAAATCATTTTTTAAAAATCACTTTATCACGTTTGTCATATTTATCCTATTAAATCTTTATTTTTAATGCCTATTTATTTAAAAATCGTTTTCAGTCTTTTTCTCATTGTAATCCTTTTTCAGTCATTTTATCACTTGAAGATTCCTTTTAATGTTTGTGTTATCATTTTAAATCGCTTTTTAAAAATCGTTTTAGCGCATTTGTCATTTTTATCGTATTGAATCTTTATGTTTGTAATGCCTATTTATTTCTTTCTGATTTTTTTTTGCCAACCACGTGGCCTGTGGGATCTTACTTACCCAGACAGGGATTGGACCCCTGGCAACTATAGTGAAAGCTCAGAGTCCCAACCACTTGAACACCAAGAAAGACCCCATTCCTATTTTTAAATCTTTTTTTTCCATTTATTTTTATTAGTTGGAGGCTAATTACTTTACAATATTGTAGTGGTTTTTGTCATACATTGACATGAATCAGCCATGGATTTACATGTATTCCCCATCCCGGTCCCCTATTTTTAAATCATTTTTATGTCTTATATGTTATTTTTAAACTTCTTTTTTATTTTTTCATTTTAAATCATTGCGAGTTTAATGTCATTTTAGCATCTTTTGTCATTTTTTTGTTTTTGTCATGAATGATTCTAATTTTTAAATCATGTTTAGCTGTAGCTAATTGTTTCATCTTTTTTGCTCTGATATTTTTATCATTCCAGTTCAAAGTCTTACCATCTTTTTTGTCATTTCTATCACTTTGAATCACATTAATATTTTTAAATCATTCTTTTTTAAAATTAATTTATTTTAATTGGAGGCTAATGACTTTACAATATTGTAGTGGTTTTTGTCATACATTGACATGAATCAGCCATGGATTTACATGTATTCCCCATCCCGGTCCCCCCTCCCACCTCCCTCTCCACCCGATCCCTCTGGGTCTTCCCAGTGCACCAGCCCTGAGCACCCGTCTCATGCATCCAACCTGGGCTGGTGATCTGTTTCACCCTTGACAGTATACTTGTTTCAATGCTATTCTCTCAGATCATCCCACCCTCGCCTTCTCCCACAGAGTCCAAAAGTCTGTTCTGTACATCTGTGTCTCTTTTTCTGTTTTGCATATAGGGTTATCGTTACCATCTTTTTAAATTCCTTATATATGTGTTAGTATACTGTAATGGTCTTTATCTTTCTGGCTTACTTTGCTCTGTATAATGGGCTCCAGTTTCATCCATCTCATTAGAACTGATTCAAATGAATTCTTTTTAATGGCTGAGTAACATTCCATGGTGTATATGTACCACAGCTTCCTCATCCATTCGTCTGCTGATGGGCATCTAGGTTGCTTCCATGTCCTGGCTATTATAAACAGTGCTGCGATGAACATTGGGGTGCACGTGTCTCTTTCAGATCTGGTTTCCTCGGTGTGTATGCCCAGAAGTGGGATTGCTGGGTCACATGGCAGTTCTATTTCCAGTTTTTTGAGGAATCTCCACACTGTTCTCCATAGCGGCTGTACTAATTTGCATTCCCACCAACAGTGTAACAGGGTTCCCTTTTCTCCACACCCTCTCCAGCATTTATTGCTTGTAGACTTTTGGATAGCAGCCATCCGGACTGGCGTGTAATGGTACCTCATTGTGGTTTTGATTTGCATTTCTCTGATAATGAGTGAAGTTGAGCATCTTTTCATGTGTTTGTTAGCCATCTGTATCTCTTCTTTGGAGAAATGTCTGGTTAGTTCTTTGGCCCATTTTTTTATTGGGTCATGTATTTTTCTGGAATTGAGATTTAGGAGCTGCTTGTAGTTTTTGAGTTTAATTCTTTGTCTGTTGCTTCATTTGCTATTATTTTCTCCCATTCTGAAGGCTGTCTTTTCACCTTGCTTATAGTTTCCTTCGTTGTGCAAAAGCTTTTAAGTTTAACTAGGTCTTACTTGTTTATTTTTGCTTTTATTTCCATTACTCTGGGAGGTGGGTCATAGAGGATCCTGCTGTGATTTATGTTGGAGAGTGTTTTGCCTATATTTTCCTCTAGGAGTTTTATAGTTTCTGGTGTTACATTTAGATCTTTAATCCATTTTGAGTTTATTTCTGTGTGTGGTGTTAGAAAGTTGTTCTTACCCTTACCAGCTCCTTTTAACCTTTTCGTATTTTTAAAATCATTTAAAAATCATCTCACCAATTTGTCATTTTTGATTCCTTCTTATCCTTTAAGGATCATTTTTGTCGTGTAAAGAGCCTTATCATGTAAGCATCATCTTTATCAGTTTTGTGTTTTTACCATTTTGAGTCATTGTTTGGGAATTGGTAGCTAAAATGATCAATCAGTTGCCGAGTCAATTTATTGCATCACTCTGTATCGTTTTTATGGAAGCGCAGCGTGTGGAGGTTAAAATAGCGCAGCAGACAAGGAAGAACGCCGCACCCGCCCCCCGCCCAGTCTTCCCCGTCCTCAAGCCCTCCACGCCCCGCTCCCTGAAATCAAACATTCACGCCCCTTCCACCTTGCCGCCTCCTCCCCTGACTCACAGCCGGCGCCCCTTGAGCTTGAACTAGGAGAGCGGCCAGCAGGAGGCGCGCGGACGGGACAGCGGAGGACACAGCATCGGGGAGGGACCCCGGGCTGCTCCGGGCTTCGAGCCCGTGCACCAGCATCCAGGACCACAGCACGCGCGCGGGTCCGCCCCGGGGCGTCCGAGGCTCCGGGGGCCGGAAGCCGCAGGGGCGGGCGCGGCCGTGGGGACCGCGGGCTGAGGCGCTGGGTCCCAGGCGACCCCGGAAGGTGGGGCCGAGGGGGAGACACAGCCCCACCTGCATCCTCTCGCGTCTCTCTGCCTTCCCGCCGGGCTGGCGTCCCACTGTCGCCCGCCCGAGGTGAGCTCGGTGGGGCAGGGACGGGGGGTGAACAGGAAGGCAGATCCGCTGATGAGAACGCCCGCTTACTGTCTCCATCGCGCTGTCCACCGCCTGGACCCCCTGTCCACACTCTGCTCACAGACGGGGGGAATCCTGGTGGACGCTCCTCTGCATGCCACCCAGATCCTCGTATACGTTATCTTACTTTTTTATGGAAGCGTAATTTACAGTATGGTGCAGCTAACTGAATCAGTAATACAGATACATATTTTTTTTTCAGATTCTTTTTTCCATTATACGTCATGACAAGCTATGGACTACAGTTCCCTGTTCTATTGGAGAAGGAAATGGCAACCCACTCCAGTGCTCTTGCCTGGAAAATCCCATGGACGCAGAAGCCCCATAGGATGCAGTCCGTGGGGTCGCAAAGAGTCAGACACGATGGAGCGACTTCCCTTTCTTTCTTTCACTTTCCCTGCGCTATATAGCAGGTTCTTGTTGTTTATTGTGTATGTTTGTTGTTGTTCAGTCGCTCAGTCGCGTCCGACTCTCTGCGACCCCACGGACTGCAGCCCGCCAGGCCTCCCTGTCCATCACCAACTCCCAGAGCTTGCTCAAACGCATGTCCATCGAGGTCGGTGATGCCATCCAACCATTGCATCCTCTGTCGTCCCCTTCTCCTCCCGCCTTCAGTCTTTCCCAGCATCAGGGTCTTTTCCAAGGAGTCAGTTCTTCGCATCAGGTGGCCAAAGGATTGGAGTAATGCATGTATGTTAATGTTAGACTCCTAAGTTATCCCTCCCCCATTTCCACTTTGATAACCTTATTATGTTTGTTTGCTATTTCCCCGAGTCTTTTCCTGCTTCACAAATAACTTCATGGGTATTGAAAAAGAAAGTGAAGTCGCTCCGTCGTGTCCAACTCTTTGTGACGCCGTGGACTGTAGCCCACACAGGGTCCTCTGTCCTTGGGATTCTCCAGGCAAGAATACTGGAGTGGGTAGCCAGTTCCTTCTCCAGGGGAACTTTCCCGACCCAGGGATGGAACCCAGGTCTCCCGCATTGCAGGCAGAACAGTTTAACCTCTGAGCCGCCAGGGAAGCTCGTGGGTGTTAGTTTTCCACTTATATTTCCACATCTAAGTGGTATGACGTGGTATGTGTCTTTCTCTGTCTGGCTTGTTGCATCTGAGTGTGGCCATCACTACGTCCATAGAGACCTAAGAATCTGCCCATGGACATTACACTGTAATCCACTCCGCTTTCGGAACGTGTATTTACCACTTCTGTTGAAGCACAGTTGATTAGCAATGTTGTTAGCTTCAGTAGGACAGCACGGTTGCCTTAGTTATACATACAGATATAGTTTTTCAGATTCTTTCCCACTGTAGGTTATCACACGATAGTGAATATAGGGTCCCTGTGCTGAATAGAAAGTCCTTCTTGCTTATGTACTTTACACAGAGTAGTTTGTATCTCTTAATCCCAGCTTCCTAATGTATCCTTCCCCACTGGTAACCATCAGCTTGTTTTCTGTGTCTGTGAGTCTGTTTTGTAAATAAGTTCCTCTGTATCATTTTCCTTCTCAGAGTCTGCTTATAAGTGAAAGCACATGGTATTGTCTGTCTACTTCAGTTAGTATGACCATCCCTAGGTCCATAGAGACCTAAGGATCTTCTCATGGACACTCCTCTGTAATCCACTCAGCTTTTGTTACCTATTTTTAACTTTGGAGCACAGTCGATTTACAGATTTACAGTGTTGTTGGTTTCAGATAGACAGCCCAGTGATTCAGTTAGACGTATACATATGTATCAAATGTGTTTCAAATCCCTTTCCCATTTAGGTTGTTACATAACATTGAGTGGAGTTCCCTACGCTGTGCAGTAGGTCCTTGTTGGCAATCGAGTATACGTATACTAGATTAAATCTGCTAACCCCAAAGTCCTCATTTATCCCTTTGGTAATCGTTTCTTTCCTGTGCCTGTGACTCTTTTTCTGTTTTATAAGTCGGTTCATTTGTCTCATATTTTACATTCCCGATATAAGTAAGAATTTCTCCCACATTTTGCATTCCACATATCAGTAACATGATCACTTTTGTCTTTGTCTTACTTAGTATGACAGTCTCTAGATCCAGCATGGTGCTGCAAAAGCTATTATTTCCATTCTTTTTTATGGCTGAGTAATATTCCATTGTCTTTATGTACCAGCTCTTCTTGCATTCAGCTGTTGATGGGTGCTTAGGTTGTTTTGCACATCCTGGCTATTGTAAATAGCACTCCTCTGACCACTTGGGGGTGCGTGTATCTTTTTTTGAATCATCGTTTTGTCTGGGTCTATGCTGAGGACTGGGATGGCAGGGTCACGTGGTGACTCTCTGTTTAGCTTTTTAAGGAAACTCCGTGCTGTTCTCTGCCTCGTGGCCGTGCCAGCTTCCTTTCCCAGCAGTTCTGCAGGAGGGCTCCCTTCTCTCCACGCCCTGGAAGGGACCGTCTTGATCGTGGCCGAGCTGAGCTGCAGTCTGCCCGAGACCCGGAACACGTCCCTGGAATTTGGAGAAAGCGCAGAGCTGAGGTTATCAAACAAAGCCCTTGGTGGTAGGATGCTGATGCCAAAGCTACCTGGGAAGTATGTGAAGATGGTTCTGCCATTGACCCTCCAAGGAGCCAGGAGGGCTCGTCAGAAATATAGGACGAGCCGGGTGTGGGCTGACTTCTAACAGGGCTGTGAGCAAAGCCAGCTCATTCTTCGGATATCTGGGTCTTTATGCCAAAACTTCAAATTAGTCTTGCCAAGATCAGGGACTGAATCCCTCCCATAGCAAATGGGATTAAGAAGGGAAAAGCATTTCAGAACATGCTCCTGGAAAAAAAAAAAAAAGCCCAGGAGGCACAGCATAATCCTTTGAAAAGATGCTTTTATAGGAGTGTGATGAGAGGTGTGTGTGAAAGTGAAAGCGTTAGTCACTCAGTCATGTCTGGGTCATTGTGGCCCCGTGGACTGTAGCCTGCCAGGCTCCTCTGTCCATGGGATGCTCCAGGCAGGAACACTGGAGTGGGTTGCCATGTCCTCGTCCAGGGGATCTTCCCGGCCCAGGAGTCGAACCTGCATCTCCTGCATTGCAGGCAGATTCTGAGTCACGAGTAGAAGAGGTGTATTGTGTAAATACAGACAGGGAGGCAGAGAAATCATGAGAGTTACATGCTCTGGGCGAATTCAGAAGCTGCTCTAATTCTATGAGAAATATACACAACACGTAAAAACGTCACCCTCCATACAGTCGCAACGTTACATTCATATCACTGTGCGTTCCTTCCTCGGTCCGTGAGATCCTCATTTCTCACCGAGTCCCTCTGACTTCCCAACGGGCTGCGTCATCTGAGAGCACGCAGGCGTGGGTGTATCGTCAGCAGAGGCTGCCCGAACAGACAACCCCACGGGGGGCCCAGGGATCCCAGGTAGGGATATAAATAACGTGGGGCAAACTGCTGTGGACACTGTAAGAATTGTCTGTATGATCTTCCCAACCTTTCCGACAACCCAAAACTATTCTACATTTTTTAAAACATTATTTTTTAAAACACAAGTCTCCTCCACTGCTGCATATATATCTGAAGAAAACAAAAACACCCAAAAAGATACACATGTATCAGTGTTTATATGGCAGCACTGTTCATGATAGCCAAGACACGGAAGCAACCTAAGCGTCCACTAAGAGATGAACGGGTAAAGACGACATGGCCCACATGTACGATGGGGTATTACTCACCCACCAAGAGTGGAGCCATGCCATTTGCAGAAACATGGATGGAACTAGAGGTTATGATACTCAGTGAGGTAGGCCAGACAGAGAAACAGAAATATCATGTGATATCACTTCCAGGTGGAATCTAAAATAAAAGGGGGCGGGGGGACGAGCGGACTCATTTACAAATCAGAAATAGACTCACACACATAGAGAGCAGATTTATGGTTACTAGAGGGAAAGAGAAAAAAGATAAACTAGGACCAAGGGATTAATAGATACACACTACCATGTACAAAGGGCTTCCCTGGTGGATCAGTTGGTAAAGAATCCGCCTGCAATGCAGGAGACCCCGGTTCAATTCCCTGGTTGGGAAGATCCGCTGGAGAAGGGATAGACTACGCAATCCAGTATTCTTGGGCTTCCCCTTGTGGCTCAGCTGGTAAAGAACCTGCCTGCAACGCAGGAGACCTGGGTTCCATCCCTGGGTTGGGACGGCCCCCTGGAGAAGGGAGAGGCTACCCACTCCAGGATTCTGGCCTGGAGAATTCCATGGGCTGTATAGTCCATGGGGTTGCAAAGAGCCGGACACGACTGAGCGACTTTCACTTTCACTATGTATAAAATAATCGACAAGGACCTACCGTATAGCACAGGTAACTGTATGCAATATTTTATAATAACCTACAAGGAGAAAACTAAGAATATATCTATGCACGTGTGTATATATATATACACGCACACACATGCTGTGCTCCGCTTACTCACTCAGTCGTGTCCGACTCTTTGCGACCTCATGGACTGTAGCCCACCAGGCTCCTCTGTCCATGACATTCTCCAAGAATACTGGAGCGGGTTGCCATTTCTTGCTCCAGGGGATCTTCCCAACCCAGGGATGGAATCCAGGTCTCCCACACTGCAGGCAAATTCTTTACCAGCTGAGCTACCAGGGGAAGCCCAAGAATCCTGGAGTGGGTCGCCTCTCCCTTCTCCAGGGGATCTTCCAGACCCAGGGTTGGAATCAGGGTCTTCTGCATTGCAGGCGCATTCTTTACCAGTGGACCCACCTGGAAAACTCCTATGAATACACATATCTATATGCAAAATATTATTATATATTAAATTTTACACATGGAAAGGAATTTTATATATAAAAGGGAAGACTCTTGCACTGTTGGTGGAAACGTAAATTGGTGCATCCACTATGGAGAACAGAATGGAGTCTCCTTGGAAAACCTAAAAACAGAGTTGGTGACGGACAGGGAAGCCTGGCATGCTGCAGCGCGTGGGGTTGCAAAGAGTCAGACACGACTGAGCGACTGAACTGATGGAAAATAGACAGCCAGTGGG